AATGCAGCAACTCTTGCTCCATTCCCAACACGTAGCTCCACTTCACCTTTTGTAAGTGTTCTACTTCGTTTTAGTCCCTGCACATTCATACAAATGTGAGTACCACAACCGGTATCCAATACCCATGAAGTAGAACTAGTAGTAACATTTACTTCTATAACATAAATACCTGAATCGGAAGTCTCACTTCCCTTTTTCTTCAGATCCTCCAAATATTTCTTGCAATTCCTCTTCCAATGTCCATTCTCCCCACAATGGAAGCATACAGCATCAGCAGTCGGACCCGGTTTGGTCTTGGATTTGGGTTTGGGCTTAGTGCCCTTGCCCTTACCCTTGACCTTACCTGGCTTCTTAAAGCCTTTCCCCTTTTGAACCATGAGAACATTAGGGGTAGGGTCCTTCTTGATATTCTCGCTCAGCAGCTTTGAGCATCCCATGCGGTTCGGTCAAAGACTTGTTCGGATTATGCATGTTATAGTTCATAACAAACGTGTCATAATCTTGAGGCAATGATTGAAGAATAATGTCAGTAGCCAACTCTTGGCTAATGGGAGAGCCCAGTCGCTCCAGGTTTTCAATATAACCTATCATCTTTATGACATGTGGGCTAACTGAGCTCCCACTTGCTAGCTTGCACTCAATTAAGGTCTTTACCGTTTGGTATCTTTCAGTGCGTGCCTGCTCCTGAAACAAATTTTTCAGGTTCATGATCATATCATAGGCATCCACGTTCTCAAACTGCTTCTGAAGGTCTGAGTTCATGGTAGCTAACATTAGACATGATGCATCCAATGCATCATCTTTATGCTTCTGATAAGTATTCCTTTCAGCATGGGGAGCATTGGAAGGAGGTGCCTTCTGAGGGAGTGGTTTCTCCAGGACATAATCCTTTTTCTCTTGCTTGAGAACAATTCTCAAGCTTCTATACCAGTCCAAAAAATTCGAACCATTCAATTTGTCATTCTCAAGGACAGATCGCAGTGAAAAGTGTGATGCAGAGCTATTTGCCATTATCTACAACAAATATGCAAAGTGAATTGTTCATTAACATTATAAATAATAAACTCCCACTATACTTTTATAACATGTGTCCCAAAAAGTATAGTGGACCAAGATCCATATTTTACCAAGACTCGAGTAAACTTTGGCTTATCGCTCAAGACTAAGTTATTTAGGTAGACAACTATTTGTCAATTGTATCGAATACAACTCTTGGTTATTGGGGTTGACATCTCATATCTTATCCCCAAACACTATGCCTCAAGGCCCAAAACGGTTTTGATAGCCTCGTTAAGTAAACCAATCTTAACATATGGATAACCATTATCCATCCTATTTTACTCAAATAGTTAAAGACATCCTGCTTTGGCAGGCCCATCTTTTGACGATTCGAGTCTTAATAGGTGTATGATTGGAAAGGCATCATATTATTACTTAATTTTATTAGGGACTTTTAATGTTTATTTAGTGATGAATGCATGCATGTTATAAACATAAACGAAACATCACTTATAATAATAGAGGTACATCAATCATACGGGAACGACCAATTCCATGCGGGTGGTCAAGGCTGCGCCCCCGCTCAGGGGTCGAGGGCGCGCCTCGCGGGGTCAATGGCAAGGTACGCTTGGTGGTCTCGCGCTGGGGGGAAGGCGCCGCCTCGCGGGGTTCGAAGGGCGCGTTTCCTCGCGGGGGGCTCGGGGCGGCGCCCGAAAGCTAGACAGCATTCGCAATTCTGTTTTCTGAGGAGAGCCCCGAAAACTAGACAGAATTCTCAATTCTGTGTTCTCAGGAGACTATCCGTTGCTGCCGCCTCCCGCGCCCTCACCGTATGCAACTGGCCGAACGCCTCGAGTCCTCGACGCGCCGGAAGACTAGGCGCGCTGCCGTCTCCGCCTCGGGCAACAGACCCAGACGCGCCGCCATCTCCGCCCGCCGTCTCCGCCCGCGCGTCCCCGCCTTGGGCAATAGCCCAGGCACGACGCCGTTTCCGCCCGCCGTCTTCGCTCGCGGTCTCCGCCTCGGGCAACAACCCAGGCGCGATGCCGTCTCTGCCTCGACGCGAGCGGAACAGGATCGACCCATCCCTGCTTCGTTCCTTCTCAATTGATCATATCAATTCGTATTTCAAATTCATCTAACCCTAATTTAGACTCACTTCAGGCATACATCATATGTATCAACAATTAGGGTTTCCAATTCAACTTCAATATATCACAAGTAGCTTTGATACCACTGTAGGGTTCATTAACAGTAACAACGCAGCGGAATATAGAACCCTAGACAGGATCCATGCGTATATTGAAATCGAAAAGGAATTTCGATACGTACCTTTTGCAGATCAAAGAGAAATCAGCAACTGATTGTGTCTGGATGAGCGCCCCAAGTGTTGCGCCTCTACCGGTATCCACACACACGAACGGAATTCTCCAACGATCTACGTGCTAGCGAAAGATCTTAAAGTTCCTTTTTCTTGAACGCATTTTGCTTTTCGATACTCTGTCGAAAAACCCTAGACAGAGAACGATTCTCTATCTATTTATATAGCCTCATTATCTAGCGGAATTAAAAGAAGTGGGCCGGGCTATTTGGGCCCGCCAAACTGTTCACCTTCAATCGTACGTTTAATCGTTATCTCATAACGCGTACGACCGCATAGATAATTTAAATAGGAGAATAAATTAAAATCTACTTCTTAAGTAGATCAAGGCGCATAGACAATATTAAGTCCGTTCGCTATTGTGTGCGACCCTGTAGGTTCACTAAACATTAGCAGTGTGCCCAAAACTCTTTTGGCCCACAAGTCATAAGCGGTCTCTAGCAACACATTATGACTACCTAAGTATAGTGAAGATCGGTTTTCCGACACAACCTAATCCACAACTAATATTAGAGTATCAACCTTGATTGATTCTTAGGGCAAACCTCTAACATTATGTCCAGGATATTAATATTGTCGACAAACCCCTCATGTTGATACAGTCATTTGGTTACATGTGCCGATCAATGTGTTTTTATTTTATTCTATATAATTTCCCTTATCATTCGCCCTACTATTAAGGAAAATTACTTCCTAATCTTATCAATTGACTCAAAGCAATTCGGTTAACTTGATTTCTATAATATATTTCTATGTTCACATGCCATGTTCAACTAGTGATAAATGTACTTTTAAAAGGTAATAACTTAAGATGGGTGTTATCATTTTATCGTTGAGAAATATTTTTGGGTCAATTAGGGCCCATTTGATAACGTGCCAAACAGTGAAAATTTCTGTTCTTTTGTTTTTAGAAATAGTTTGAGAACAGAAATGCGTTTGGTAAACTTTTTGTTCCCAGGCACATTTTTGCAAAAATTTGTGTCCAGAAACAGTTTTGGAAGAGAAACAAGAAGTAAAAAAAAGTTGCTTTTTGTTTCTCGGCATAATTTTGAGAATGAGTTCTTTTTCTTTTTTTTCTTTTCTTCTTTGTGTTGTTCTTCCCTGGGCTGTGGCCGGTCGCCGGCGGTCGGCCATAGCCCAGGGCCGACGAGGGCGTCATGGCCCTTGCCGGCCGCCGGCGGAGGCGAGGGCGAGGGCTACACCCTCGCCGCCTGGGTGAGGCGGCTCGCCGTCAATCATGGCTAGGTCGGCCTCGCCCGATCTAGGCGAGGCCGAGCCTCGCCGTCGATCATGGCGAGGTCGGCCTCGCCCGACCGACGGCGCAGGCTCAGCCTCGCCTGATCTGGGCGAGGCCGGCGGTGAGGCAGGCGACCAGGGCGGCGGCAAGGGCCGCGACGCCCTGGCCTGTGGCCGGTCGCCGACGCCGGCGACCGGCCATGGCCAAAGAAAGGAAGGGTAGAAAGAAAAAAAAAATTAATCAATTTAAAATATTATTAAAATATTATTAATAAAAAGAAATTTTGTGTAGTTACCAAACGTATTTCTGTTTTTTTCTATCCTAGGAATATAAATTTTGGACAGTTACCAAACGCCTTTAAATGCTCAGAAATTATTTCCGGGCACAGAATAAAAAAGAATCATTTCTGAGTAGAAATAGTTCCCGGACACAAAATGATTGTCATGCGCACCCTTAGTATAGTTTTGATTCTCTAACGCATGTCATCTTTTAAAATTCGTGCTTCAACTGTTCTTTTGAATCCAGCCTTCTAATTCGTTGGATTTTCGTTAAGTCCTCTTACTACTACCGTCTTCTAAATCTTGTCCCAAGACTTATTTTTGCGATCTTATTCTCTAACTTGATGGTTTTGCAATCAAATCACGTCATTTCTCGATAGTTACTTCGTCGAATTGCTCATAGGATACGACGTCGAGATATTTGTTGACTTTCGCATGCTTATCTACATGAGCATACTTACACAACTGCAGGTGAAGGGAGGACTCGAGTGACAATTGAGTAAGTTGGAGGATCAATTCAATTGCAAAAGGAAAAATAATGGGCAAATTCAAGAAACAGTTGAAGTGATGGGACCAAAATTAGACTCGAAACAATAACTTTCGTTTTTCACCAACTATCATCCCTAGAAATCATTGCATTCTTTAAAAGGAGAAGTGGTTGAGACCCCAAGGCCATCATGCTTTGGAAGTTTTTCCAAAGCATTAATAAGTGGATTGAGATGGTTTGGCTCTTTAATTCAAAATATACATTATATCCATGTGCTCACATAAACTAAATTAATCGAAAAATAGAAAAAAAACAAGAGACAAAAAAAGAAGAAGAGAAAGCTATGTCCAAAAGTAATAAAAAGTGGAGGCACATATGATAGCCGTTGAAGGACAAAGGTGTCGACCAAAAAAAAAAAAGAAAGGACAAAGGTGGGACCAATGCCAACGTAAGAAAATCGAAATCAAACGATATGGGCGGCCAAAAACAAAGCTTAATCCACCCTTTCTTTATTTACTAATCCTCCTCTCGTTTCACTCATAAATACCCTTTTTTTGCCCTACACTTTCCCTCACTTCCACTCTCTCTCTCTCTCTCTCTCTCTCTCTATCTAATCAGCAAGCCTAAGCAAAGCCCAACTTTCTTCTTGCTCAATACCATTTCCCATCTTCCCGCAAAGACACTAGAAGCTTTTTAATTCCGATGGCGAAGGACGTCGAGGTGGTGGAGCAGGCCGAGCCCGCCAGGGACTACCACGACCCGCCCCCGGCGCCGCTCATCGACGCCGAGGAGCTGACCAAGTGGTCCTTCTACAGGGCCATCATCGCGGAGTTCATCGCCACGCTGCTCTTCCTGTACATCACGGTGCTGACGGTGATCGGGTACAAGAGCCAGACGGATCCCGCCCACAACGGCACCGACTGCGACGGCGTCGGTATCCTCGGTATTGCCTGGGCCTTCGGCGGCATGATCTTCGTCCTTGTTTACTGCACCGCTGGCATCTCGGGTACGTTTCGACGACAATAATCATCCGACTCCTAACGAAACCGGATAAATTAGCAGTTTGTCAGAGAAAACAAATTAAACCGGTATAATTAGCAAACTCCCGAGGGTGCTATAGCATGCTGGTGACAAAACGTTGCATACTGGATGATAAAATTTAGGACGGTACACATATGCATGAGACTTAGGCAGGGATTTCGATTATGACCCCTGAACGATTTGATCTGGAACGAGTTTAGAGAATGATCTCTCGTAAATGTTGCTGACTGTGCTCAGGAGGGCACATCAATCCGGCGGTGACATTCGGGCTGTTCTTGGCGCGCAAGGTGTCGCTCATCCGGGCGGTGTTGTACATGGTCGCGCAGTGCTTGGGCGCCATCTGCGGTTGTGGGTTAGTGAAGGCCTTCCAGAAGCCGTACTACACCAGGTACGGCGGCGGCGCCAATGAGGTGCAGCTCGGCTACAGCAAGGGGACCGCTCTAGGTGCGGAGATCATCGGCACTTTCGTCCTGGTCTACACCGTCTTCTCTGCCACCGACCCCAAGAGAAACGCCAGAGACTCCCATGTCCCCGTAAGCACCCTCTTAACCCTCTTCTGAACTGTCATCGGTTGTGTCCCCCACCGTTTCTATGTTTGCGCCAACACGATGTAGGAAAAGTGTCTTCGTGTGATTCGAGCGAAATTGATGTTTTTTCCTCTGTTGTCGGGTGGTGAAATTGAAGGTGTTGGCACCACTTCCAATTGGGTTTGCTGTGTTCATGGTTCACTTGGCTACAATCCCCGTCACCGGCACTGGCATTAACCCGGCCAGGAGTTTCGGTGCTGCAGTCATGTACGACAAGGACAAGGCCTGGGATGACCAGGTACATTCAACATCATCTACACCCACCACCATAACTTTTATTCTTGGTCATTAAATTTCGTTAATCATCTCAACTAATCTTATTAATCACGTTCATCTGTTTGGTTTTCTCAGTGGATCTTCTGGGTTGGACCCTTCGTTGGGGCTGCAATCGCCGCATTCTACTATCAGTTCGTCCTCAGAGCAGGTGCCATCAAAGCCCTTGGATCCTTCAGGAGCAATGCTTAATCATCAGCTCCAGTACTGAGGTCTCTCAAAAAATGATGAAAAGGGGAAACCATGAAAAAAGTACAAAAAGAAAAAGAAAAAGAAAAAAGAGAATAACAGTGAAGAGGATGAAGTCTGTATCTTTCAGGTCCTTTGCATGAACTCTAGCTGTTTCTTTATCCCTTTCCTGGGTTTGAGATTTGGCAACATTGGGCTGCAAGGAGAAAGAGAACTGTAAATAAAAATTCAATGTGGGGGGGCAAGAGTCAAGAGTCAAGAGTCAAGAGAGTGTGGTTTGGGAGTACCCATCTTCTGGTTTTTTTTTCAAGCTTTGCTTTGTATGTATTTTCTTAGAGGGTGTTGCTGTCTGCTTATGATGTTCAATTTCTATTATCCTTATTATCTTTTCTTCTTTTACCCAATTGGTGTGCTTGATGTTAATTCTATCCATATTAATCTAGATTTTCCATCAACTATACTTCCTCTATACATATAATTAATATTTTGAGAATAACATCTTAATTATTAAGTATACTTAGTAAGTGCCTACGATACGCTCAGGAACACGATCCTTACCCTTAACGATTTCCATCCTTTTTGCTTGCATAAACAAAAACCATCTCTTTCGGTGGCTATAATGTGGATCAAATTGAAAAACCAATCTCCAATAAAACGAACACAAAAAAGATGAATTCATCCCTACGTTATGGTCATCTTCTTTTGTGCCTCTATTAAATACTTCATTTGCCACGAAAAACTTCATGTGGTCCAAAGAAACTGTCCCAAGAAAACATTGGAACTTGTGTGCGCAATCCAAGCGAAAGAAGCAAGCTTCTTTGTAAGCAGCAAGCTTCTTTGTAAGCAGCTCTGCTGTGGCCTTGTGGTCAATTGGTCATTATGTCATCAATGAAAGCTGCCTCGTTTTCAAGCACGATCTTATCCTCAATCCCTGTACGCAAAACCCTAGATTCGAACCAAGAGATGGCATCATTTAACATCATAATCTCGTTTGATCCCAGGTGGTGGAGGTTGATGTGTCCTAAAAGAAACCGAGCGGGCCTGCCTTTTTGTGGTGGTGGTTAAGAGAATAATGAGATAGAATATGCCTTCGGTTCTTCCCATCATTCAAACAGTGGTTAAGGGGAAAGTATTATTAGGAGACAATTATTGTACCAAAAAAATTACAACCAGAAAGAAAAAAATGAAAAAGGAACGAGTTAGGTCAACACAAAACTGGGGATTCCTCCTTTTTTTAATGAGAGAAAGGGGAGGATGGTCCTCCTTTTCTTTAATAGTGAAAGAGCAGAAATTGTTAACCTTATCTCGTCCTTATCATGAGGGTGTTTTCAATTGTCATTTTCCAGCGAGCTGATTAGGTGAGGTTTTGGTTGTCTGGTGATGCATAAGCAGGATTAGTTTAATTAGTGGATGGAGAATTTTTGCTTTTGGACAATTTTTTTGTGTTTTTCTTCAATTTAATTGCATTTTTTTTCATTACATAGCTATAACTCCAATTCGAGCATCTAAACTTACGTTCCAAGTTCTTTTTAGCTAAAGATAAGTGGATGGTGTCTTCTTTGCTGGCATTAGCAATTGGAAATGGGACACCCAACTTTTCCTTTCCCCTACTTTAGTAGGGCACACTTGGATGTGCTTACAACGCATCATGTTAGATACACAAGATCATAGATGAACTTTAGGTTAAATCCAACTCAACCTTGGAAGGAGGTATCAATTTCATATAAAACTAATTTTTTTATGCTAATTTGTGAATTTGTGGTCCAGTAAATAATACTAAAATGCTGCTCTTACAAGTAAGAAGCCAGCCTACAGCTCTACCCCACGAAAGAGAGAGAAACCCTAAAAAGAAGATGCCCCATCTTTATCACACGCACATGAGCTGTGAATCAAAAGTCATCTTTATCTCGAATCCATTTTCCAAGAAAATTCTGGGAAGAAAAGGATGTGTGGGGTAACTTTCTGGCCATCAGAAAATTCGAGGTGGAAAATTTTTCACCTGCTAGACAAGAAGCACATCAACGCACTAGCACCTTATTTTTCTGAACAAAGACTTTTGAGCTGCATGAATCACCATCTTTTGGCATCATCTACTTCGGTCATGATTATCAGATCCAAGTAGTCTCTTGGTTTGCTAGGGTTTTCCAAGCAGAAGAAATAGGATTAGCATTGATGAGCAATTTGGGGAGAGGAGGTCAAAAGTCAACTTGATTGAAAACCTACCCACAGCCTAAAAATGGATTTCATGCCATGGACATCCATATGGGCATCGGCATCTTTTACCCTCATTATACTTTGGAGATGTTCGACGGTCACGTCATCTGAATTTGTTCAGATTGGACTTCAGAGGGACTTGATGAGAAAAATTATGATAGTAGAGTAAGTATGAAGACTTGACCAGAAAAAGTTATAGTGACGAAAAGTAGAATTTTTCCTTTTACATGACCAACTTCTCTTGTCTTGATAAAAAAAAAAAGAACTTCTCTTATATTTTTCTAATTCACTTACTATTTGTTTTTATTGAATTGTCGTGATAAAATGGCAAGAATGAATGAACTCGCCCAATGCATTGTGTTACTGGAACAAACTATTTCTTTCGTAAAAATCTGGCTTTTTAGAAGTCCCAGAGGTCCTAGAACACCTAACAACTTTTATTTAACTTTGTTACCAACACCTTCAATTTATCAACTATTATATGAAATTGCCAATCTTTATTTAGTGAAGTATCAACTTTATTCTTGATTAAGTAACTAAATAAAGTTATTTAGTTTTTAAAAAAGCCAAATAAATGGTGGTAGCTAACTCAAATGAGAGCTGTAACCCGTGACGAGTGGATAAATTAACTTAGCAATAATATCTAAGAGTTGGTAAATTTAAAGTGTAATTAAACAGGTTAATAAAAGTTGATGAAAGATAAGAAGTCAGTAGTTGAAAGAAAAAAAGAACTTGGTCAGCAGCTTAGATGAGAGTTAGTAAGCCAAAACTAATTGTAACTTATTCAAAAAAAAGTTAATAATTCGCTCTAATTGTGTTGGTAATTTTCGGAAAGGAAAGTTGGTATAATTAACGTTTTGCTAAGAAATGCCAAAAAAAAAAGTCTGTAAACGAGAAGAAAAGTTGGCAAATTAGAAAAAACACTATATAAATGTTCATAAGTTTCTTAAATGAGAGTTGATAACCCAATATATGTAGTAACATAATGGGAGATAAACTAGGAAAAAACAATTTTTTTGAGTCGAATAGGAAACAACAATTTAACATTAGCGAGTAACTCTTGTGAGTGTTGGTAACCCAAAGCTAGTCAGTAATATAATTTAAAAAAATAGTAAATCACTTTAATTTGGGTTGGTACTTTTATATAAGAGTTAATAGATTCGAAAGATTGAAAAGTTATGCAAATAAAGTCAGTAAGTTAGTAAGAAATTGCTGATTTCGCAAACTTTTATAAAAAGTTGGTAATTACGTAAAAGTATTGGTAAGTTACTAAAAAGTTACCTAGAATAAAATTTGCCGATCATTATTTTTGCCAAAATTCCCATATTTTTTTTGTACAGGACAATGAAACTCTACTTAGTAAACAATGCAACTGTTTAAAATGACAAGATGAATTTTAGGCTCTGTTTGTTTCACGGAAAGTAAATGATTTAGAAAATATTTTCCTGAAAATAATTATTTGTATCGCTTGAAATAATTAGTCAATGAAATTTTTTTGTATTATCGACAATAATTTATGTCTATACATTTTTGTTGATGACAAAACATTTTTCGTTCATTCATTTTTATAAGCTATACAAGCGATTATTTTAAAAATATATTTTTCAAATCATTTATATTTCACAAAACAAACGGAGCCGTAGTCTACATCACTTTACCTTTGAAAAGAGCTGCGAAAAATCCATAATCGAATTAAGATTGATTGTCGAGGGGAGCCCATTTGATTTCAATTATCGGAATGCATATGCCCCAGGGCTTTTAAACGAAAAGTAGTTTTTTTCATCCCGCCAAAATTTAAAATATTATTCAAATTTAAAAAAAAAATAAAAAATGGATTATATGTTTATTTACATATCGACATTTGAGTAACGTGAAAGTTTCGGGAGTTTCCGATTAAACACAAAAAAAAAAAATTTAAGTCGGTGAACCGCAAGATTTAGATTAAGTAAAATGTAAAAGAGTAAAAGTTGATCCAAATCAGCCATCAATTCAAGCCTTATAATTAGCAGTGGCCTGTTGATTTTGGTTGGGCCTAGACGTGCATGGAGAAGAGAAGGGAGTTGGGCCGGGCCGTCTATCAAAGCCCAAATACAGAACCAAAGGCTTTGTGGGTTGTATGAGGCCCAAAGGAGCAGTGATGTTTCTTTAGCTTGTTAAACTTTTGTTATTTTTAGGCCCAGATATTTGAAATTCAATCCAATTGTCTAAATTCCGTAGCGATTCAACGGCGATCACAGGAGCTTTGGAGGCTGTTTGATAACCTACCAAACAGTACCCGATTCTATTCTTTTATTCCCCGGAACAAAATAAAAATAAAAATCCGTTTGATAAATTTTTTGTTCTCGGGTACAAATTTGTTCCCAAAATCAGTTTTGGAACAAAATCAAGAATATAAAAAAAAAAGTTGATTCTTCATTCTGGGAATAAGAATCGGAAATGGAAAAGAATTTTTTTCCTCTTCTTCTTCTTCTTCTTCTCGGTTGGTCTTCTTCATTTTCCCTGGCCTGTGGCCAGTCGCCGGCCATAGACCAAGGCTGGAGAGGGCGTCGTGGCCCTCACCGGCGAGGGCCGTGACGCCCTCGCTAGCCCCAGCCTATGGCTAGTTGTTGGCGCTAGCGACTTGGCCATGGGCCAAGGAAGGGGAAAAAGAAAAGAAAAACGAAAAAAAGAAAGAACGAAATATTCAAAAATTCAAAATATTATTAATAAAAAAAAATTGTGCAGCTACCAAACGCATTTCTGTTTTTTTTTTCTATTCTAGGAATATAAATTTTGGGCAGTTACCAAACGTATTTAAATGCTTATAAATTGTTTCAGGGAATGGAATAAAAAAAATAATTTCTGAGTAGAAATTATTTCCGGGAACAGAATGGTTACCAAACGCACCCTTGGCGGCTCATTGAATCACGTAGATTTGCTCTTCCACGTGTTAAATCTGTGTTTGTTCAACATATTTTGGTTGTCTTTATACGGCAATGGTGTAGAGGAAGCCCACAAAGCGCGCACCGCTAACTGGCAATGCCATAATTATTGGAGAAGGAATTTCCGGTGTATGCACATCACTAACGAAGATGTAGGATCCAATGATCGGCAGCCAATTATTTTGCTTGACAAATCCGTTCTTGTGGAACGAGTATGTGCTTAACCTTGCTAGCGCTCCGTCAATCCTCCATGTTTTCTAGATTTGGCTTTTTGTAGTATTATGGGTTTTGCTCCGATTCGATTTGTTTTCTCATGAAGTTTATGTACTTTTCATGTATATTTTTTAGTAATGAATACAACTTGATTTTACTTAATTTTTTTATCACTTTAAGAAAAACCGCAATCCTTATTTTTTTGCATGAAATTATGTAATGTAACATATTAGGTGCATAACTATTGAACTACATATAATAGATAATGAAGGCTTGAGGACACAATCCATGGTTGCCTACTTTGTCATATGAACTCGCATAATAGGCTTGGAGAAGAATTGGTCTTGCATATTTCCGCAGATATAATTACAAATATCAATGGAATCGATAAATGAATTTTAATTTATGAAAAAGATGAATGAATCTTATATTATCTTAATTTACTAATTATAAACTGGACAAATTACGAAATGGGGGTGTGGTCCAAAATTAGGGAAACATATATTAGAGCCCAAGCAAATTAATATTTCATCAATTGTCCCGGCGTAGTGATAGAGGCTTTTTTATGGGTGATGTAACAAATTATAATCCTCTTTTTTCTTTTTTTTTCCTTTTCAAATGAATGAATTGTAAACGTAAAATTGAATCTTTAACAATAAAAATTTAAATTGCAGCAACTTTGAAAAATAAAAGAAAATCAAACTGAATCTCCCGATCGCGTCACGCCATCATTTTACCGTTCATCACCCAATCATTTAAACGTATAGTTAGTATTCCGAAACCACCGAGTTGGTTGGTTTAAGTGGTAAAAAGATGTCGCTCGCCTTTCATGAGATTAGAAATTCGACTCGTGCCGTGAGAAAACCTTTATTTGCCTAGATCTCTTTTTTTTTTATAACTACAATTATATAAATATGCGTGTGTGTGTCTATTCGTTATTTTTAAAATTCGAGCGGCTTTCCATAATACACTAGCAAAAAGAAAACACAATGTGATGCAAAAATGTTCGAAAAATTTTCAAATTTTCAAGGGAGCGACGCATATTGAACTGAATTGACCAATTGGCTAAGAAACGAACGTTAGGCACACTATCAAAATCATTCGTTAGTTCCATTACCTAAACCATCGTTTTACAAACAATCATGAGTTTGGGCCATTGGTTCGGGCTTCAGCTCGCTTCCTGCCAGGTTTCGTGAAACTAGTGTACGTATGATGAACGTAGGATCTACCTAGTTGAGATACGGTTCCTCATCGTATAGAAAAGCGAAACAAAAATTTGGGTCCCGATACATGATAAGGTTAAAAGTTTACGGACCATCTGTGAAATTCTCGATTCCCTTTTTGAAAATCGAGAATAACTTCGTGGATTTGAGAAAAGTCGCATTCAACTACCATAGTAGAGGTGGTCGTGGGGATGAGTCACTTAGCCTGCCTAGACCCGACCGACTGATTGGGCAAAATAGGCGAGTTTGGTCGACAGTACGTTCCCTATCTGTGCTTGACTTGCTTAGATAGATAGGCTCACTACCATAGTAGAGGTGATCATGATGACGACTCGCTCAACTTGTCAAACCCGACCAGCTGATTGGGCAAAATAGGCGAGCCTGGTCGACAATACGTTACCTATCTGTGCTCGACTCGCTTAGATAGGCTCATTCATGCCCGATTGATTTCACATAATAACTTACATTTTTTTCTTTAAATGAGTCAGACCTAGCAAAGACTTTCAGGCTCAGCACCCTCGGGCTACCTATTGATCATATCAATGTATTGAACCAACTTGCACTATTCATTGCATCGCATCCATAATCATTCCATTTCATCACATTTTACTACCCTATGGGGGATTGAATCAAATCCCTCGGTAGTACGCGATCGAATTGGGTTAAACGGGTGGTCGAAACCGGAAAAAGGGTGGCAGCATATAAGGCCAACGGGGTTGTTTAGCAGAACATTTTTGCGACACTGTCGTATGCGAAAAGGGATGTTGCGACTTTGATAAGGTATTTGATAGATAGCTCTTAATCGCAGCACCGATCCGACTGCCACATTTTCCCTATAATTCAGGGATACGAACGCGCAAAGAGCCACGTGTAGAAGCGCGTCCCTCCGGAGAAGGAGTACTCGCGAGCGGGGTCTTCGAATCGGGTGGATGGAACGAAGGAGACAAAAAAAAAAAGAAATTTCTCTAAAGCCTCGGCGAATACAGAGGATGTACACGTAGGGGTTCGTTTGTTTCGTGGAAAAAAAGAATGACGTAGAAAATATTTTCCTAAAACCGATTACTCGTACCGCTTGCGTAAATGAACGGACTAGAAGTATATTTCATCGTCCATAATAATGTTCTGATATAAATTGCCGATGGCTAATTATTTTTAGAAAAATATTTTTTAAAATCATTCATTTTTCGCGAAACAGACGGAACGGTAGCGTACTGTTTCCGAACGCGCTTATCGAGTGACTTTAGGCTACGCAAACAGAGGCTTTTGCACAGCTGGCTGATTGGAAAGACGGCATAACTCGCGACATGTGCACACATCCTCCCACCAAACAACAAAACATTCACCACCGCCGCACATGCCTTTGTTTGCGTCGGTGGCATGCTCCTGTCGTCCTGTTTTTTTCCCTCGCCATCCACGTCGAAACTCACGATCTCTCCCCCCTCTCGACCCCAATTTAAGGGGAAGAAGGAAAAAGGGAGAGGGAAAAACGCAGTCTCTTTCGACCTCGTCGACCGACCGGTGACGGGCGACCCGTCCGGGCTCGAGGCCCGCCGCCACCGACTCGGTGCACTCGATCGGACCCCGATCCCCGTACTTGGAAAGTTTGGTACCCGAGCGACGAATTCGGGCTCGATGCGAAGCTCGACCGCTTGGCCCCCCGCGAGCCTCGTCCTCTATTTTGCATCTTCATTGCAAAACTCTCAACTCCTTCGCTCTCTCGCTCTCTCTCTCTCTCTCCCACGACGTTTTAACGTTGGTACCTGTACGAATCGCAACAAGCTTCACGATTTAACTTTTAAAGAATTCCCCATGGCCAATCGGCATATTTTTTTTTCTCGGGTCAACGTAATGTATCGCGCTTAAATCCGAGGCACCCCGGTCTAAATTCGTGTCACCATCGAGTCGCTCGATGCGATCACGACCGTCGGTAAATGAAATCATCAACGGCTACGATGCACCCGATCCGTACCATACGGGAGTAGATCCAGAAACTTTTGGCACGGCATTTAAATTTTTCGAACCCTCCATCTCCCTTCAATCTTTAGCTACCAGATTCAGATCACCACCGTCACCCCCTTGCTCCGATCACGTGCACCGGCCCCCATCCTAAACTCCCTGCGCTCGCCACGCGTCGCGTTCTCATTGAACCCCTCTCCTTCTCCTTCTCCTTCTCCTTCTTCTTCCTCTGTCATCATCCTCGTCCCCTGTCTTTCAAACATCACTGCACACTCTCTCTCTCTCTCTCTCTGCTTCGCTTTCCACTTCCTCCAGATCTGCTGCATTCTCTTGCGTTTCGGCGTCGTCGTCGTCGTCGTCGAGCTCGCGCGCCGCCTCCACAGCTTCGCCGGCCGGCCGCCTCCCATGGCGAAGGTCTGCCTCCCCGCCCTCCTCGTCCTCCTCCTCGTCCGCCCCGCCCTCGCCGCAGATCCGCCTCAGATCCCGCCGGCCCTCTCGCCTGAGCTCGCCCCCGATGCCCCCACTCCGGTAGCCGGAGCTCCCGAGCACTACTCCCCCGCCTCGTCCCCGCCGTCGCCTCTCCCGTCGGGCTCGCCCCCGGCTCCCGCGCCGGCGACGCCGTCCCCGTCCCCGTCCCCGTCCCCGAGCAAGTCCGCCGGCACGCGCCACACGGGGGTGACCGTGTCCGACGAGGACGCGGGGGACGGCGGGTCGTCGTCGTCCGGCGGCGACGGCGGGCTGAGCAACACCAAGAAGGCCGGGATCGTGGCGGCGGCGATCGTGTTCGCGGGGCTGGCGCTGCTGGGAGGGATGGTGTACAAGAAGAGGAAGGACAACATAAGGCGGTCGCAGTACAGCTACGCCGCTCGGAGGGAGATCCTCTGAAGGAAGGAGAAGCGTGTCGCCACACACGATTCTTCCTCCGGTGCTTCTTGGGTATAATTTTCTTTTGATTTGGTCATGATTTCTGGTTACAGCTTAATGGGGGTCTCGCCATACGATATCGTACGGGGGGGAAATCAGGATTGATATTGATATTGATATTGATATTGATTGATTCGTGACTGTCGATCGAGCTGCAATAAAGATTTGTTTGGAAGATTTCACCTTTTGAACTCTTTGCTCCGTTCGGACGTACTGTGCCGCCGCCGTTGGAGAGCGCATGATGCGTGCACTGAAATCTGAAAATCACGGCGATCATTCGTCATCGTCATCTCCTCGGAAGAAGAAATGGCGACCTTCGTTTGACCGGAATGCGACGCGGGGTCGGCGCACTTTCCGGCGATTTTCTTGACGGTGTTGAAAAACCTTCATCGTACTCGTTTGTCTTTTCCGATGATGTCTTGGAGCTGGAAAATGGGGGTGTCTTTGGTGTTGATTTTGATGATGATTTTGAATGAGCTTAAGGATAATTTGAGACCAAATACGGGCTTTGACATATATAATTAAACCGGTTCCGTATGTTGTTCTGAACTATTTTACTGTAAAGAAGTCAGTGCGTTGTGGACTCCCAAGAACAGTATGTCATTGTCGATACGATATATTGTAAAGAAATAACGGCACCGAGGTCCCGGAATTTATTTAATTTGTGCAATGTCGTCCCTCGAAGCTTTTTTTTTTTGTTCGATCGGGTCCTTGGGTTTTTTTTTATTTGTGCGATATGTTATTCATTTCGTCGGATGCTTTGAGACGAGAATGTTGACGTGGTAGTCACATGGTCGTCAAGTCATGTCCACATATTGCCTCGAATAGATTCATTCGGACATGGACTAGAAGACTATAAAAATAAGGACCAAAGGTAGAGATTCCCAAAATATGAGTGGCAATGAAGAGAAGGGGAGAAGGACGAAGGGCAATGGGGGCCGTAGGGGGGTGGCGGCGGCCGGCGGCGGCGGCCGGCGAGTGTCCAGTGTCCCTCACTAGCAGCTGCGGCATCGCCTCTGCTGCCTCTAGTTATCCACAGGCGTAATGCACTTGGATCAAGAGAGTGTTTGATGGAGATACTCGGGCAAGCTTAGTTTGACTTGGCTGTCGTGTTCATCTTCGTCTTCGTGTTCGTCCCCACAGGTGGCGGGAGGGTGGTTGACTCTCGCCCACGATTGAATGACGATCACCTAGATCGTACATGATAGAGAGAGAGAGAGAAAAGGGTAATCACAATCCTTGTTGGCCTGGCCACTTGTCCGCGAGGACCTCCGACCCTTGGCAACCATCGGGAAGGGGCACCCTCACCAGAGGTCCGGCGAGGGTCATTTGGCTTAACGGCCATTCGGCTGCCACATCTGCATTTCCGTTCAAGCATATGGCGGAAAGACTAACATTGCACTAATCAAAAACGTTCGAGGACTTGATCACGCCAAAAAGAAAAAGATTTCTCAGGGACCCTGCTGCCATTGTCCTCCTGTACAAATACTAATGGAGCCATGCTACTTCGGAAAAAGAAAAACTCTGCTGTAATTGTCTTTGGCGTTTCTATATCTTTGGTTAATCAGACATAACCATTCTGTTCAGCACCGACAATATATAGCATTACTACACCCATGAGCCAGAACAACATCGAATGTCTGGAGGAGAACCAATCCGCCCAAACAAATTTGCAGACACTAGCGACTAGTCCTCTCTCGGGAAACTGCAGTAAGTTTGCTGCAAGCAACAGAGACGACACATTCTCGATTCTGCATCCGCATGTGTAAAATCGTATACGGTGTGTGTCGTTTGGGCAAAGAAGAAATTCCGTGTCGCACATGCAACAAAGGTTACCGGGAATCCGACTTGAGCTTGGCGTAATTCTTTTGCTGCATCAGTTGTTACTTGTTGCTTCAACTCCACTGATGTGTCCCCGGACTGCTTAATTCGGTCTGATGACCATAAAGAGGGCCTAATCGCGGCGGAATCATGGTTCTGGGGTATTGACCCGGCCGAGTGATCGATTGTGAGACATGCGACTGCACCGAATGAGCGTCCCGTCTTCTTCTCCACCTTAGGAACTCCACGACGATAGAGCTCACGCTCATTGCGATTCCGAAACCAGCAAACGTCGCGAAGAGGACCGCTAAGACCGCTTGCAGCCGAACCTGCAAGATATGGGAAGCATATTAATGACCCACCTAGATTATATGACTGCAGAGTTAAGAGTATCAAGGAAGGGAAAAGCTATTCCTTCATGTCCACTTCAAAACTCAAATGACAAAATAAAAGCCAAAGATAGGCACAAGCAAACACAGATTGAGTGAGATCCTCCTCTTACCAAGGAATAAAAAATGTGAGCAAAGAGAACCACCAAGGCGAACTGTACCGATGCATAAATCCAAATGTATCTGCTTTTCACTGAACGCAGAGATCAAAGAGATTTCAGTCAGGAAATCCTTAACTAGGATCTGAACACTTCATGAAAGCCAACACAGATTCAAGGAAATCTTTCAGGAAGAGAATCAACTGTCGATACACACTTCTCATGTATCTTTGCGATCTTACCCATAGTCGATGAAGTCATGGATGCCAGAAGACCCAAGACACAAGAAAATGGCAGCGAAATAGCAATTGCACTGGTACCCATTTTTCCAACCTACATGAAAGGGGGAAAAACCAGCACTAATATGAGATTCCGGTATGTAGGAGGAGGTTTTTCATATAGGCTGATAATCTTACCAATAGCTGCTCCAGGAAACAAAAGTAGGCAAGCATGCTGACAATGACGAGCACGGGAACTTCCTGCCACACCCTGATAAGAAAAAACCCAATGAATTGTAATGTCGACTGTTCTATGGACAAAGGATACATTTCTAAGGAAAAAGGTTACACAGAGTACTAACTGGTATCCATTGAAATCCAACGGCTGAACTCTACTTGCTCTGGTATTCCACGTTCGAAAACTTTGAATACGTAACAGCATGACCGGCAGATTCTGAACTTCTCTTTTGCACACATCGCAGGTTTTGTTACCTTTGATGCTAAACCATTTGATGGCGCATTCTTTGTGTGCGAGAGCCATTTCACCTTTGCAGCTGCATTCCATCTTAAGGGTCTCGCCTCCTTCACATAACTCAACCAGACAAATTCTGCAAACGGCCTCTTCCTCCGGTATGTCTTCACCGTCAGCGTCATTTTCTGAGTTAAGAGTCTCGATTAGAATATTGATAAGCACCATCACAAGTTCCAAATTAAGTACCAAAGTAGTAACTTCTACTTTCTATGCTGAAAAAGAAGGAAGACATCTAATGATATCTTTGTTGTTTCATAGGAAGAGAACATAGATGCAAAGTGAAAATTTAAAGATGAAGTGAATACAAAGTAAAAAGTTCTTTTTTTTGGAGCCAATCGCCTCCAAAAATAGGCACCTTTCTGGCATATTGGGAGCACTATAAATCTGGTAATAATATACAATACAAGTTCAAAAATTTAGCCAATATCATAAACAAAACACAAGAACGATCTAATAGTAAACTCAAGCAGTTACTGCCCATGGAGTTCTGGAAATGAATATATTGAGATGAAGAATACCAGGATCGCTCGTTGATGTATTGGACACAGGATGTCCTTCTATTACACGAGGAGTAGAAGGTATCACACGGAAGAAAGAATCCATCCTTCCAATGCTTCTTTCTTTGTTGAGAGGGACCGAGAGAGATCGAGAAATCTGTTTCCGCGATCCTTTTCTCTGCAATAGGATATTCCAACATCATCAGCATGCAGTTAAAAATGAAATTTCTTTGAATCGGTATGCTTTAAGATCAATATACTTGGCATAGACTAAAAAACATAAGATGTACCGAGTCTTTTAAGTTTAATTTTTTATTGATGAAAGAGTTTAGGTACCCCATATATATTATTAAGAGTGAATTATAACAAGCATATTTCGCTCTCAGAAGTAACAAAATTGATGATTGTAAATTCATTGATTAGTCAAAGAAATACCATTTTCAATAGTTACAACAACACACTACTCGATCAGCAAATGGTCAGTAGCATGTATAAGGCTTACATTTTGATGTGGAGCACCACAGGCACTTTGATCTTGTGTAGATTCCGGATTTAAATTAGTGACTGGAGTAACTGGCAGTGACGAAGTTCTCTTAATTCGTGGAGTGAACATCTTCGTAAGTGACAACGACCTTGAGATCGAAGCCTTTTCTTGCGAAACTTTTGGCGATGCTCCTTCTATGTTGTTGGCAGCTTTCTCAATATCACTTAATGGACTCCGATACAAGAAGCTTAATCTTGGTAAAAGACTTTTGAAAGGTGATCTGGTTCTAGATGAAGAGGGACCAGGCGATCCATTAACTCTTGCTTTGCTAGAACTGGAATTCGGTGTCAACAGGAAATTCACTCTCCTGGGTGTGGGGCTTGGCGTTATCGGCATGGCTATCACAAGGGTATCTCGAGAAGATGCCTCCTTTCGCGAGGGTATGTCGAGGAAGAGGTTTTGTCGCCTCCAGTGATGAACTTGTGGGGCTTGTTCAGTTATTCTCACGGCATTATCGACCTAAAAGAATGAAGGCGACATTATACACAAGCAACAAACATAGCGATTGGCAACACCATCATCTGTTCATACCATGCTGGTGGGCATTTTCTATTGCTTGGGATTAGCAGCACATCAATCTAAGCAGAGCAGCTTGACTCTAGACAGATACAACAATCTAATTGATATCTTCTGGCCCAAGTAGAAGTATATGGTAAATCATAATAGCAAAACACAATCCAAAGATCTTTGATATCATAATAAGCAGCAACTTCTGGTATCAAGGCGAATATTTGATGCAACTGAGCAAGAACCGTTCACTGACAAAACTTTGATCTTAAAATCAAGCAGAACAAGGAAGAAGCAAGGAGATGATTATGATCTCTAATGCCAGCCAAAGCCTGATCCGCTAATTCATCACAAACGGGTCAGCGGATTTAAGCAATTTCACTTACATGCAAGACGGGCCTATCTAAATTCAGTGCTGATAACTGATCCTGCAGAGAGCTTCGTACGTTCGTTTCAAAAAAGAAGAAAGAACAAAGCGAAAGTTGGAGGAAGAATATGAAAGATGGGGTCATTACCGTCGGCGGAGGAGGGGGCAGAGCAACAGTCACTTCACGTGAAACAGAATCGGACTCTGCTCTCTCCGCGGCCTTGTCAGGAGCTTCCATTGTTATGTATACCAAGCTCGCTCAGCTTAGCTCCGCTCAAAGAAAGAGAGAGAGAGAGAGAGAGAGAGAGAGAGAGGAAAAGGGTAAAGCAGGAAAGGAGGGAGGAGTTATGGAAAGTATGGGGGGAAACAGGGGGAGGAGGGAGGAACAGGGGATGTATAAATGCGATGCTTTTGAGTGAAGCGTCGCAATTTATGGGCAAAGGTGGTGGAAGGTGTGGCCTACCCAGAGACGCGCAGACAGAGGGAGAGTGACAGAGAGAGAGAGAGAGAGACAGATGCCACCTCCTCAGTCTCAGTCTCAGTCTCAGTGCGCGCGGACTTGATAGCATGCATCATGCCTCGCCGTTAAATGATTTCTCCACATTATCGGCTTTTTATCTACCTCTTGATTTGATGGTAAGTGAAAGACCATGTATTTTCTTTTTTGTTGGAAAAAGTTCCTAATATTTGATAGTCAAGAGTTTTCAGACAAAAAGCCCGAAGCAGGGGGCGTCAAAGCACAATAAATCCCAAAGGAGTCGGGGAGGATGATCTAACCATATGATAAGGGTAACGAATTTAAACGATGGGACTGAGCTATCAAATCCGCGACTCTGTTTGTAGCCCTTCTACAGTGGCCAAGGAAATCATGTCAAAATGGGCCATCCGGGTTCGGGTGTCCGCAACCGAAACACTCGCTTCCCCCGGCACCTGAGAATCACTTCGCAAAGCTTCAGTCATTACTAAACAATCCGAGGAGGTTTTTGTAATAAAAAGAAATCTTATTGTAAAGGGGCGAATTTAAAAGTTTCGCGAGAGATTTCATAAAATGCAGTACTCATTTTATAGGAGAAAGGTATCAAAAAAGTCAAAAACTTATTGCATTGGTACCAATTTAGTCCATTCGGCCAATTTAGGTCGGAAATTGTTGACAACGCCAGCCGTCTTACGTGACACACGTGGACATATTTTATAATTAAAAAAATTGAATTGTTTTCATTTTTCTTTCTTTTCTTCCATGGTTTGTGCCGGTGCTTGATGCAGTGGCCCCGGCCTAGGCAAGGGTCGGCCTCACTGGCACTCGCCCTAATCTAGGCGAGGCTGACCCTCGCCTGTGGCAGCGAGGGCAACCTCATTCAGGCGAGGCCAAGCCCCACCGGTTGGCACTTGCCATGGAAGAAGAGAAAAAAAAAAAAAGAAAGAAAGAAAGAAAAAAAATTATTAAAATATGTCTCCAAACATGTCATGTAGGATGGCCGGCATCAACTTCAGTAATTTCCAACTTAAATTGACCATATAGACTTAATTGAAACAAATGTGAAAAAGGTTCAGGATTAAATTGGTCCAATTAAAATGTTAGAACTAAATTGGTACCAATGCAATAAGTTTATGACTTTTTTATGTATTTTTCCCCATTTTATAAGAATGTATCCATGGGTGCCTATAGCTTATTTAATTTGTAATAATTCAACTTTCAAAGTATTAACTTGCGTAACACGGGATGGCCAGTACTTTAAGATATGCAAAATTTGGTTAGTTGATTATTTAACAAGTGTCTTAGCATTTAATAAGAAATCCTATGAAAATTGCACCAAACACCTCATCATGAGAGGACAATGGCACATGCCAGCCCCTCCTTGTATATTTTTCTTTACAAGGACAAAGGTCAAAACGTTTTTGCTTAGGCCACGTTTTCCCCCATTTCTCTTCAGTTGGTTTAGAAAAAAAGGAATTTTTCTTAAAATTTGGGTTATGCCCAAATCATCATGTTTTCTTGCAAATTACCCAAAAATTTTTCCAAGTTGACAAAAATATTAGTTTTACCAATCGAGTCAAATCAAGTCAGTCGAACGTACCATATGATTTACTGAGTAGGCTAGACCTTGAAAAAACCAAAATTGATCAAGTTATACTAATGTGTCGAGCCCTGAATGATTGAATGACTTCAACTCAAGATGTAAAGTGTGTCATACTCAATTTTTAAGTCGATGGTACCAATATGCCTCATAGAGCACTTGACCACTCTTCATGAAATACACATTGATGTCGAGTCTTAACTAATCCGGCAAATTCCTAGGATAAGGAAATTTTAGTATTAGACATTCATGTATAATTTATGTCTAAACGTTTTCGTGAATGATGAATATGTTTTTCGTTTATACATGTTTTAAGCGATATAAACGATTATTTTTAGAAAAAAATTAAATAATTTATTTTGCCGCAAAATAAACGGAGCATTAGTATTTAGTCCACACAGTTGTGCCTTTCTATTTCTACTCGATTGGTCCTCCGGCCATTGCTGCGAATCTTCCACTATATTATTCTTTGTTGTCAAAACATTCCATTAAATTTTTTTTATGGACGATAAATCGGATTTAAAAATTCAGAGAGTCAGCGAGATCAGCCCACCGACTTCATTATTTGCATAGTAGCAAGGTGGCTGCTTCCTAAAGAGCAGGCGGCCTTTGGTGGAGGGATTTCCTGTCGCATAGCTACGACTATGACTATAGTCTTGACATCCTTTAACTATTTCGCAAAGAATTGAGGGACTCCTCACCAGTTTATAACAAGTCACGTAACCGTTGAACATGGTATTGAATCAATCAAAAGGCAAGAACATTTATCTATCAGACGTTATTCTAACGCAATTTAAGTCTCCTTATCGACGAACTTCGTGTGAAGTACTTGAAGCCTATCGCGAGATAATTAATTCATCTAATGACGCACCTCACACTTTCTTTTGACCGGACCGAACAGCCATATGAGAGATAGATTGCTATATTAGTCTTAAGTTAAGGTAAACCCTGAGGGAGAATAGGGTAAGAATCCAAAGGAGAATGTTGTGATCCTCCTGTAGTGGTAGGCGGGAAGTCCATGATTGAACTGGAAGACGACGACTGCTTTTAATCATGTCTTCAGGAAAACAGTAGTCGGTCTTCTCAAGTGGCGTAGAATTCACAAGCACTTGATCATGTCGACATTTAGCAAAAACGCATATTAAACGGTCACACCATGTAATGCGCCTAGAACCATTTAATACTCGGGCAAATGGTACGAGACCACGTGGCCCAATTCGAAACCAGGTTTCAAAAAAAGCTTGAATACACGTCTGCTTCATGTCTCCAAAACAGGGTGAGATCATGCACCATTACACCGGATTAGGACATCGGAGGGTTTGGCAGATAGAAAGAGAAGAGAAAAGCTAAAGGGCCAACATGATTTAGCTAAAGATAAAAAGCTTAGCTGATGAAATCCGGGGCTTTTTGACAGGTTCAGCTTAATGATTCTGGTTTTGAAATGCTTACGGTTCTGACAGTGGCAAGGGGTAGGCACAAAGAGAATTTTATGGAGAGACAGGCCTACTCTTTCCATAAATATCACAGAGAACAGAACGTTGCACCATCCGCAACAGTGGCTTCCACTCACTGCTTGACCTCACTTTTAGTTTTAGCCATCGCGGCTTTGTCGATTCCTGATATTTGAAGTGTTGCCCATCTTGAAAGAACGCGCTGACAGAACAAAAGTCTCGGTGAATTTAGTCAAAAGCCGCCGAATTAGTGGTAGTTCATTGAGATAGAACGGCACAAACATTTGATATGCTAAAGACCCCGAGAGCTTACAGATCCATCATCACCCTTTTGAAGCTCCTTAAATAAAAAAAACACCCGTAGATTGCATCGACGATGCCTAGTGTTAGTAACTTCGTACATCTTAGAGAAACCTTGGAGTGTCAAAGGTTAAAGCAAAATTCCAGTCACCCACTACAAGTTAATCACTTGTTCAGATCCAGCTCGCTTGGACTTAATCAATCACAACCGTCGTGATGGCGGATCCTACATCCTACATTATATACTGGCAGTGACGATGTTTGATCTATGGATGCAGTACAATGGATCCCACATAAATTAATGGCCATGTCAATATCTACCCAAGTACTTGGTACAATAAACTGATTCTCCCATAACATTGCCGGACCAAGCGAAAAAAAAAAAACTTAGGAAGTCTCCTAGCACGTTTAACAGGTCTCTCAGTCACACATGCAAAGACATCCACCTCGATTATGTTAAAAGAATCACAAAATTCAAGATGTAAAACATAACAAGTTGCAAAGCAAGAGAAACTGAAGGGAAAAAGGAGGAATAACCTAAGACAGACTCTCTTTCTGAAGGGGAGGGACGATGGTAGGAGGTAAAGCCCTCTTTGTTAGAGCAATTCTACGTGACTAATGTTACGTAAAGACCTGCCAAGTAAAAGCATCTTGTGAAGCCTATTAAGCCAAAGCTGCTCGCAAGATAACGCATGTATATGGAGAAGGCAATTCCTTATCTCTCCAGAAGCATAACCAGTTCACAGTGTGGAGTATGTGGGAAAAGATCGACAGCCATGGCTTTTACTGGATGGAAAGGCTCTGAGTTGGGCATAGACTTTACCCTGTGCCGTGCAAGGCCGGCACTGCTCATGTTTCTCCAAGCCCGGTTATCTTTTTTCCCTTTCTCATTATTCTCAGGACTGGGTGTGCAGAGCTCAATAGCATTTGCCACTAAGCTTTCAGGATTGCAGGAGATGTATCTACATGCAAGCAAGGCAGATCAAAACCTCAGAATTCCATTCGGTAAGAGAAATCAAATGAATTAGGTGATGATAAAAGTTCTTTGCATGGGGACTCACACAAGTTTTCGGAGATGTGAATGAGTTCTCAGAGCTTTGATGACCTGCAGTACCAAAAAAAGGGAAGGAAGAAGCAAGCAACCATATTAGAAGACAAACAATTGAGGATGCAAAAATCTCAATGAAGAATCAACTTTTATGTGTCTCCAAAAGATTCTTAATTAATCGTTATATACAAGAAATATCTATCAGAACATGTGCCTACTCGGCTACTCCAATTAACTGAGGGTTTTAATGCAACATGTAAGGCAGAAATCCAAGCCGAAGCATATTCTTCCATTGCTTCATATCAAGGTACGACTTTAGAATGTATAGGACAGCATTAGTAACATGGAATATCTGGTATGACAGTTCAGCAGTCAATCTTTACATCCCAGATGGTTGAAATAAGGTGGTCATACTAAATAAATGGTTTATGGCCTATTGATATATTCAAAAAATTTCGTTTTTAAAGTTCGTAAATCACTCACAATTGGATGGAGCCCCACACGTGGAGGATCAACAATGGCAACAACTTTCTTAAACTGCTGTGCCGGAGTACTTCCAGATCCTGATGTAGAACTCTTTTCTTCTGGGCATTCCGATACTTGTTCCTTAATTCCTGAAGAACCAGATGCCTCCTGGTTGATTTCAGGACAATTATTTGAACCATTTTCAGTTTCCAGCGTCTTATTCGCAACAGCGCCTTCACTTTCAGCGGAAATAGTTTCCTCGTGACTTTGTGATGCACTTGTAACCTCATCTAGATTCTGTGTTATAGCATGCAGGTACTCCTTCAGAAGAGATCCCATGACATCCTCAGCCTGAATAATAAATAAGTCAAAAAAATGAGAGAATTAACAGTAAGTACCTGGTTGTGAACTAGGACAAATCGATTACTTAATAAATGATAGCACCACAATAATCACTGTTTTTAGTTAATAGCAACCACTACCCAGTGAAACGAATAGTTAACAGTAGTTCAATAGCAACCATGAAAAGCTTTATGTGCCATTGCTCCTGTCATGGACCTCTAGAATAACATAGAAACTATGAAAGACCAAGAAAGAAATGGAAGGAACAGGCTGCATGTCTAACCTTTGCACAGACAAATTTACAGTTTCTTATGCCATTGATCTCTGCATTTCTTTGAGCATCCAAAACAGCAGAAGCATTCATTTCAATGCCTACCACCTGTATGATATGAAAAGAACACAAAGCTCAACTGCTTGAGTGAAATGTCAATGTCAAATTCACCATATATAACTCAAAATTGCCAAATATGGTGAAGAAATACTCAACTAGTTAAGCATTCTCTAATGAAATTATAATGGGAAAACCATACCGACATAAAAATGAGGATGTTTCGTCTTATGCCTAATATTATTAAGAGCAACATTAAGAAAAGGATTGGACAATTACCATACCGACACGATGTGCCAGAGTGAGACCAATTGTCCCAGTACCACAGCATACATCAAAGAGCAGGGTATCCTGATCCAGACCAGCCCAATCACCAGCAAGTGAATAAAGCTTCTCTGCGGCAAGGGTGTTAACCTGCAGAACAATAGACATCAAGGAAAAATGGGATGACAGGAAAAATACCTGATTCAGCAGTTTAAGATAAGAAGATAGATCTAAGTTCTTACCTGGAAGAAAGCTGTTGGTGATATACAAAACTGGAGATTGCTTATGTAATCATGAATCCTTGCTTCTTTACCATCCTTTGTGGACTCTGCTGAAGCGCCATTATTTGGCTGAGGAATGGGTAGCAAGCGCAGTGAAGCATCGGCTGGTGCTGCATTCGATATTCCTTGGTGATCCTGCATATATACATCCTTCACATACCAATTCGTGCCGTTGCTAAAACTATCCAAGAATTTTACCAATTTTAATCCACCATGCTATATTTCTGCACTCCTTTGCAGAAAATATTGAACATGCCTAGAAAGACTGGCATCTGACAAATAAAATTCAACTAGATAGAAAGCGGAGGAAGAAGCTAACCTAAATGTTGAATGGTTGATAGCAAGTAAGCTGTAAAATTTTTCTCCTGAGACCAAATGACTAGATGACATCTCATCTCATCTAGTTTCAAAGAGAACCATGAACTAATGAATCTGACCTGAACAACTACAGCTGTTAGCGGCATCGAGGGTGCACTTTCAGCAGCTCCAGCCACAAATGCTTGAACCAGCCTCTCAAATTCACTGCTGACGATGGCATTATCAAGGCCCACTGAACAAACCTACATATTCATGCGAAGAGGGGACAAAGGAAGCATGAGCTAAGACACTTCTAAGGCAGGCACATAAAATGATGGGCACTGTATCCAGTCCAGACTATTGTAACAGCAAATGAGGATAAAAACTGTTGGGACTGCGAGAAAAGTTAAACCATGCCTTTTTCCATGGACACTGATAAACAATGACAACCAAGGTTTTAGGTTCAGCTACATTAATGGCCAAACCTGAATAATAAGCATGACTTCTGCTATGCAGCTCTCACTATTTTCAGATTCACAGCTTTTCCGGTTTGTCCTTCCTTCTCGAACCTGAAAGGAGGGATCACAGCAGATGTTAATTAAGCTAATGCCACAAGAGATCAAACAGTCCACAACAATTTCTTCGGAGAAGCAACATAGCCGCACCAATGGTAAAGTCAACTCAATTCATCTAAATGCCTGTGATTGTGAATATCAAAAATTAACCTTGTGATTTTCTTCATCAAACACGAACAAAACTCTTCTAATACTCAACATACCAAAATCAGCAGACCATACCGTCAGTTGACGCCAGAACCCAGTATTGTTGAATCTATTCCAAATTGGAAAGCCTGAGCATTGCAGAAAGTCCTGAAGGATCGAAGCATACTTGCATGCAATTCTAGACACATTTGGGCAGTCAATTGGCTCTTCAACTGCAGTCACCCCTTCCCTGGAATAATTTCCATTGTCAGCATGTGCATCAGTTGCATTAAATGCCTATGAATGAGAAACCAAGCAAAAATACCTGTAGTTTCCAAGCATGAAACCTACAGTCGGTTTCCCTTGGAGCGAATATCCAACTGAAAACTCACACTTATTGCGGTATCCATCAGTAAGGGGGGATTCCATTATACCTTCTAGTTCGCATGGAAGACCACCTGCAAAAGAAGAAGAACGTCGCAATCAAAATTCATTCTTCCCTCCTCTTCTTCTGTAGCAAGACATGAGAGAACAATATAGTAGACAGGTTCTCTCTATAAATTTTACTCAGCAGTTTAAATGTGCAATTCCCCAAGCATCAAAGTTAGCTTCTATGTTGATGATGTAGTGAAATAATTTTGGAAAGTACGACAATCACCTCTTTCTTTCGACTTGAGAATCCAATCTGGAAGTGAGACACCGCTAGGACAAGCTTTGCGTGCGTTTCTGGTCTGACAAAGATAGATATAGCTTTTATTTCGCACAGAGAAATGAGTACTTAAGGCAACAAAAGATGCGTACAATATCGAGGAAAAGAAAGCATAGATATAGACATGAAACTAACCAGTCTTTTCAGCATTTGCATTAGAGCGTTTACTTTGTGTACCAACTGATCAACATAAGACATATGGGCAAGGGGAGTCACCACGTCACGAGCACTTCTTGCCCTCGTAGATGAACCACCAAGTGCTGGAGTATTGTTGTCAGAGCAGTCGTTCCTTAATCCATCTGAGACAGAAATCTCCTCAGATTCATCATTAAGAGATCCTCTTTGGGGCACCACCACTCCTTGTTTTGCTTTGTTCTCAAATGATCGTGGAAGAACATCCGCGATTTTTATATTCTTGCTGCCAATAGATTTTCCTTCAAGGCCCTGGTACAACTTGCTTCAGGGTTACTAATCTATTCACGGAAAAGACAATCAAATATGAACAAAGACACCAACTCCTTCTGCAAGAAAGCTGGAGATACCTCAATTGCACTTTTTAATTGCTCCACATCTTCAAAAGTAACAAAACCAACAACCATGCCTTTCTTTTTCTTCGCAGATTTATGAACAACTCCCTGACAAAAGAATCAGTTCCGTCATGCACATTCCGACCACCATAGATGTACTAATGCTTTCCGTAAGAATAGAAATGCTGAAAATAGCAAAACCGATTACACAGCCCATAAGCGAAACAAGCAGATGAAGAGGAATGAGGAAGTAAAAGCAGCCTGTGACATAAGCAGAGTCAAAAAGTGGAAAATGATCAAAATGATAGAAGCTCCATCATTGCATCGTTCTGGCAAAGGAAAACCAAATTCATGCCAGCTTTTGTTGTGGTGAGCTTTTTAAGCTTGGCTGTGTTCTACAGTAAATATTTAAGAAATGTGACTAATACACGGATGACGAAGATACCATTGCTTTCCACAGCCTTAACAAACTTCACTATCCCAATCTCCTCTCTCAGATGCTATTTTATTGCATTCTACATCTACTTCAAAACCAACGATAGATTGCCCGTACCGTCCAGATGCAGCTAAAACAATCCGAATTCCCAGAACAGACAAAAGAAGTTTGAAAATTTTATACGGGAAAACCCACCACAAGCACCAGAACGATGCTTTTAGCAGGAACATACATTTTCAGCGCCGTGTCCCCGGCAATCACAGTCAAGCAAGGTACGTTCATTCTCTTGGAAAGTGAGGAATACTAAATTCATTCTTCCTTACGATGCTGACCACCGAGATTATGCAGCAGACTATTCACAGTTCTCTATGAACCAGTTCTAATGGGCCCCAATTAATCCAACCCACACCATTATCTAAGATAGACTACAATCAGCAAAAAGCACATTCTCCATTTTCAACGAGTAAATTCTGCAGACCGTTCGTCCATTTCTCTTGCCGCAAGAGTTGAACTTTACCAGCGCATACACTCCAAAACCAGCGGGTGTTGCAATCAGTTTAGAAGTGACTGTACTATAAAAAGAGCAATTTGAAACTGTATGAGAAAAAGTAAAAGGAACCTGCTCATCGAGAAACTTCCGCAACTGATCGGAGCTCCACTTCCTGGGCAAATGCACTATGCACTTGCTCAACTCGCCATCGCCGCCGTCGTCATCGGCCACCATCTCCGTCATCAGCACGTCCTCCTTCGCGCTCTCCGAAGCGCCGTCGCGCCTGTCCCCGCTCGCCGCCCTCGAGGCCTTCTTCGCCTTCTCCGAAGTGGGGTCCCACGTGTTGTCGGGCCGCAGCCTCAGCTCCTCCTCGCCGTGCGCGTACCTGCACTCGGCGCCGTGGCTGCAGGACCCGGAGTCGCGCCTGAAGTAGGAGCAGAGGCTGGTTTTCCACAGAGGGGGAAGCGGCGGGTGATCGGAGCCGTCGCCTTCGGCCTCTCTCTTGCGTTTCTGGCCCGAAACCGCATCGTCGCCGTCGGCCGCTGCGGCTGCTGCGGCGGCGGCATTACGATCCGATGGCGTTCGGAGGTCGGGTTGAGGGGCGGAATCGTGGCCGTTGAGCGGCGGCAGAGGGTTTTCGCCGCCGGTGGGGTTCAGGGGATTGGGCGTCGCCATTTCGTCGTGGGGAGATGCCGCCATGAGAGTTGGAGTTTCTGCCTTGCCTGCGATGCGGGGCTCTGGTCCTGGTATCGGGTCGTAGCCCGATGGATGCGAACCTACGTATTCGAGGTCCGAGAACCATTAGTCATTTGGACCTGGACCCGCCCGACCCGACCCGACAATTACTTAGGGAGAATTTCAATTAAGGACCCGAGGTGCGGTCATTTTCTCAAAAGAGGGTCCGAAATGGACTTTGTCTCAAATAAAGACTTGAAGTGATACTGCAAAAAAAAAAATCAATTTCATTATGTTTCGTGCAAAGCAATGAAATGAAATTGGAGAATGGAATAAAAAATGCAAGAATGAGATTATGACGATTTTGTGTTGAAATATTTTCGCGGGAAAATTCCAAATAAGGGCCTGAAGTATCCTCATTTTCTCAAATAAGGGCCTGAAGTAGATTTTGTATCAAATAAGGACATGAAGTGGCATGACAGTCTCAAATAAGGTCCTGAAGTGGCCACGAGAATTTCAAATAAGGGCCTGACTTCGTCGGTCACCGGACGGCGAAAAATTCCGGCCGACTACCGGCAAGGTCAAGGGCATTTTTGTCCAAATATAATTTTATTTTTTTTCTCTTTTTTCTTTTCTTTTTTTTTTTTTCCTTTTCTGATCTTCTCTTTGTTTTGCCGGTGGTCGGCCACCGAGGAAGCCCGGGAAGAACTGGGCGAGGGTCGCCCTCGCCCGATCTGGCGAGGCCACCCTCGCTAGCCATGGGCGAGGCCCGCCCTTAGTCTCTCCCTGGGGGAGGTCGCCCTCGAAAGCCACAGGCAAAGCCGTCCCTCGCCGGCAGCTGGCGAGGCTATCCCTCGCCGGCAGCTAGCGAGGCGACCCTCGTTTGTTGCTGGCGAGGGTGGCACTCGCCCAGATTTGGCGAGGGGCAGCTCGCCTATGGTCGGCAAAGGCTACCCTCGCCCAGCCCTTCCCGGGCTTCGCCGGTGGCCAGCACAAAGAGAAACCAGGAAAAGAAAAAAGGAAAAAAAGAAAAGAAAGGAAAAGAATTCAAAAAAAGTTAAAAGACGTAAATGCCATCACCATTCAAAATGTTAGGCCTTTCTTTGAAACAGAAATAGCCACTCCATGCTCTTATTTGATACAAAATCCATTTTGGATCCTTATTTGAGAATATGATGGCACTTCATGTCCTTATTTGATAATAAGTCTACTTCAGACTCTTAAGACCCGTTTGGCAACGTGCCAAATAGTAAAAATTTCTGTTCTTTTGTTCCTAGAAATAGTTTGGGAACAGAAATGCGTTTGGTAAACTTTTTGTTCCCGGGCACATTTTTGCAAAAATTTGTGCCGAGAAACAGTTTTGGAAGAGAAACAAGAAGTAAAAAAAGTTGCTTCTTGTTTCTCGGCACAATTTTGAGAATCAGTTTTTTTTTCTTCTTTTTCTTTTTTTTCTTTTCTTATTTTTGTGTTGTTCTTCCTTGGGCCGGGCCTGGCGACCGACCGACTAGCCACAGCCTCAGGGGCCTCGAGGGCGTCACGACCTCGCCGGCCGCCGGCGGAGGCGAGGGCGAGGGCCGGACTCGCCGCCCGGGCGAGGCGGCCTCGCCTCAGATCGGGTGAGGCCGAGCCTCGCCGTCGGCCGGTCCGACGGGAGGTCGGCCTCTCCCGAGACGGCGAGGCTCGGCCTCGCCCGGATCCGGGCGAGGCCGAGCCTCGCCGTCGCGACCCACGCGCGAGCCGACCTCTAGGCGAGGCCGAGCCTCGCCGTCTCTGGGCAAGGCCGCCTCGCCCAGGCAGCGAGGGTCCAGCCCTCGCCCTCGCCGAACCTGGGCTGTGGCCGGTTGCCGGCCGCCGGCGACCGGCCATGGCCAAAGAAGAAAATGGGTAGAAAGAAAAAAAAAATTAAACAATTCAAAATATTATTTGGGAACAGAAATTTTGTGTAGTTACCAAATGCATTTTTGTTCTTTTCTACTTTAGGAATAGAAATTTTGGACAGTTTATCAAACGCCTTCAAATACTCAGAAATTGTTTCCGGGCACAGAATGGTATTCATGCGCACCCTTATTTGAGAAAATGATAACACTTCATGCTCTTATTTGGAATTTTTCTTAGTTTCGCACCTGCTGAGAACGGAGGCATGTCTCCTAAAGAAACAACATGACCACTTGACCGACATATGTCTTTTTGTAGTGGATTTTGCAATTTTTAAATTATATTATACAAAATGATTTTTTACAGAAAGTAAATGATGGGGCCGGTTCTTGGTAATTGAGAATTGGACCAGAAGCGGGCATTCTAGGACCAGCTGATTTCGTTTATATTGGAACCGAGAGTCACAGGGCCGATCACGATTTTAGGCCGGAAATGTATAGTAACCATCACAAATTTGCTTAATAATTGCCTAGCAAAAGACGGCACACATGCTATGTGTGCAATGTGTGCAAAAATGGGAAGAAAAAAAAAAGAACATAAAGTACGATTTGGATCAGTTTAGAAAACAAATTTAGATTTTTTTAGGATAGGGAAGATTTAGTTGAAATTTGGAATATGAGAGATTTAAAGGATAACGGATTTTTACGTTAATCCTTTGAAATCATAATTTTTTGTTTATTGTTTAGTATTGTGTTGTTAAAATTTACGTCACTGGCATATGCGTCCACTCGTTGCACTCATATAGAAGAAATTGACATTCAAAGATTATGTTTATTACGAGATATTTGAATCATCAGGAAAGAAAATCATTGATAGATATACACAACGCAAAGAAATTATACACGTGGAAAGAGAAAATTACTTTGGAATATAAAATCTTTTTTAAGAAACTTAATGTAGGATAGAAAATGTCCAAATTCTAATGTTGAAAAACGTACTAGGTAAAATGTCTATGGATAAAATTTCGGTGAAAGAAGTTACTAAACGAATTTGGGAGGAGAAAAATAATTAAGATCTCTTAAAAATAGAAGGCTCTTTATTTTATACGATAGCATTGATTTCAACCACTGAAATTATTGAAATTTGTGGGGCAAAATTTTGAGCTTGAAATTGGCAGGATGTACTTTAATGTATAAAGAGATTTATGTAGTTCAATATCCCTTAGTATTAAAATATAATATTCCTAAGTTTTATTCATAATTAATTGTTTATGCACTTGTGAAGCTCACGTGTTATGATTGATATAAGCGATTTCACAAAAGAATTTTCTTCATAATAGAAAAAAAATTGTTGTTTATAATATGAACATCCGAAAGTTTGAATACTTGGCAAAAAATAAATAATTTGGGAAGAAGCTTATTTTGAAGATACATCTAATTCAGGAAAAAGAATTCTCTTAACTATAGGGGTGAGCATGGTTGCAGAGTAAAACCTGAACTCTGAGAACCAGATCGGTGGAAACCTGTTCGGTACCAGGTTCTGAAATATGCAAGGTATGTTCTAGATATGTGGAACCTAAAACTTAGAACCTGAAATAAGTTTTTGTATTTTTCTTGACTTGTATCTTCACACGATCGTGCGGTATTCCCTAGTGTCCGATGATAAGTGTATAATCTGGAACTACTTGTCTGAGCTTCCATTTTATAATCGAGACTTTTACTTTGTTAATATTTCATATTTTTCGTATGTCTAAGGATGCGCATGACAATCATTCTGTGCCCGGAAACTATTTCTACTCAGAAATGATTTTTTTTTATTCTGTGCCCGAAAACAATTTCTGAGCATTTAAAGGCATTTTTGGTAACTGTCCAAAATTTCTATTCCTGGGATAGAAAAGAACGAAATACGTTTGTTAACTACACAAAATTTCTTTTTATTAATAATATTTTAAATTGTTTAATTTTTTTTCTTTCTACCCTTCCCTTCTTTGGCCATGGCCGTCGCGGCGCCGTGACCGGCCACAAAGCCGTGGCGTCGCAGCCCAGCCGCCGCCCAGGCCGCCTGCCTCACCGCCGGCATCGCCCGGATCGGGCGAGGCCGAGCCTCGCCGTCGGTCGCGACAGCGAGGTCGGCTTCGCCGTGGATCGCGACGGCGAGGCTCGGCCTCGCCCAGATCGGGCGAGGCCGACCTCGCCATGATTGACGGCAAGCCGCCTCACCCAGGTGGCGAGGGGGACCCTCGCCTCCGCCGGCGGCCGGCGAGATATTGCAATAGATACTTCAATTCTCATTTTTATTGTGAATTTAATGTAGAGTTATCAACTGTGACTGCGAAACTGAACTCGATATTGGTTTCCCTTGATGATTGACGAATAAAAGAGAAGTAGTCATCTCCTTGATGTGTAAAGAAAGCAAGTGAGTACTGGAGATTCTGTATTCTTTTTGCAGCTAGTCCATTATTCGATTATTTTTAAAAAAGAAAGGCTCAAAAACTGAACATTTCTAATTCATCAACTAAAAAACCAAATCTATAGTGGGGTTGCAGAAAAGGTTGTCTCCCATAGCCTAGGGAAGAACAACACAAAGAAGAAAAGAAAAAAAAAAGAAAAAGAAGAAAAAGAACTTATTCTCAAAATTGTGCTGAGAAACAAGAAGCAACTTTTTTTTTACTTCTTGTTTCTCTTCCAAAACTGTTTCTGGGCACAAATTTTTGCAAAAATGTGCCTGAAAACAAAAAGTTTACCAAACGCATTTCTGTTCCCAAATTATTTCTGGGAACAAAAGAACATAAATTTTCACTGTTTGGCACATTACCAAACGGGCCCTAAATATAAATTGTGATCAGTGGATTGTGGTAGCAGTCGGTGGTCATAAAAGACAATGTTTAACTGCAATAGTCCAATTAATATTACAGGTGGAACCTAGGTAGATCGTGAAACCGACCCTAAAACATCGGATGTTTAACTGCAATAGTTCAATTAATAATACAGGCAGAACCTAAGTAGATCCCCAAACCGACCCTGGAACACATCATAGGTTTCAGGATGTGCATGATAAGTTCTAAGTTCCAAAAAATAAGGAACCTATTCTAACGATTATTTGAATAGATGACAGTGGTCCCACCAAATCTCACATGATATTAGTCCCACTAAAATCTCATATGATATCAGAGCTAGAGCTCCTAAATTCAAATCTTTCCGAGCCCCATTTGTCTTCCCAATTTGTACTGAACAAAATAGACCAGACTAAACATGAGGGAAAGTATTAGAATAATTAAATATTAACTTAAGCTTTTAGAATAGTTGCAGTAGTCCCACAAAATCTCACAAGTTATGTTTCAAATGAAACCTACACAGAATGTAAAACCGCTAACCCCTACTTAGCTATATGAGAAAAAAAAAGATTTTATCACTGGTAAAACGATTTATCATGCAGAAGCAGATACAAGATGGCTTTGAAGTCCAAAAACAATTTCTATTACAAACCCAATCTTTCCATCAAAACAACCCATAATTGTTCATCATAACTTATCCGTTTGGAGTTAAATCCGCGAGCGGTTATTTTCAACACGAGCAGCAACCAGGAGTCGAGCTGGAGCATGAGCGGCGGCAAAGTTGTCTCCAGGCGAGATCTTGCCGATTGAGGTAGGCCGGGAATATAAACAACGATACATGCGAAGATAGTTTTACGTCGCTTTAGTCGTGGACTCTCCCGAGTCGTCGCTGCCATTGCTCACCTTAATTTCCAGGAGTCGCTCTACCGGTTGCCGGCAAATCGGGCACCTATTCGTCTGGAACCTGAGGACCTTAGCACAGCCGCTGCACATACACTGCACCAAAAACAAGAAGGAAAACAAATGTAATTGGCACGCAGGCAAGATACCCTTCAGTCTAGTTTTTCAGAACTTACGAAGAGACCAAGTTTAAAGGACAACTAAACATATGCAAACTGGAAGAAAAAATTCAACAGCCTCATCGTGATCATCAAGATTCATAAGATATACTCTCTCTTTCCTAAGGATACGCGAGGGTCTTAGAACAAACAAAAATTAACCTATACAGCTCGATGTGACTCTTCGTCAATTGAATCTGCATTAGAAACACCATTCGGCTCATCAAAAATTGATTCTTGCAAAACGCGCCCACACCGAGTCTCTGGTATCAGGCACTAAAGACTAAACCGGTTGCCAAGAAGGGTGTACTTTTAATGAAAGAGACCAAGCTAAGTATTGCAATCAGACTCTAGTCTCCAATGACGGTATAAGTCCTAAGTGTATGACTTTTAATCTACACAAAACAAGTAGTAGTCAGATCATACCATGTGCCTGCAAGGGAGGACGGCCGTATCCCGTGGTTCTGATAAACAGATGACGCACTCCTTCCCAGAGTCATTGCCATCGAAATCCCCCTCAACCGCATTTCCGATACCATAAATCTCCTGGAGCTCATACCTCATCCCATTAACCCAAAGAATCTGTTTCACCACACGCGCCTTGTATTCGTCTTTCCCTTTCTCAATCACTGCTTGGGTTATCTGAGAATTTCGAGCTGAACTACTATCTGTCTCTGTAGCACTCAACGGGCAAGCTTCGGCCTTCACCACAAGAGGATAAATCTCGACATCACCATCTTTTCCTAAATCCATTTCCTCAAGCATTGAGGAGTCGACACCAGTCCCGGAAGGTTGTCGAAACTTTTGGCCAAGACCTCGCTCGAAATCTACTGTGACAGGTTGGAGTAGGCTCTCCCTTGTCGCGATTAAGTTACAGTCTTCAGTTTCTTTAGCGAAAAAAGCGAGAGTGATGCTGTTGAAGAGAAGAAAGATACATAAATACAAAAGACAAATTCCATAAAAGCACTATACTTTATACTGGTCTAGTTTCTCAATGGCTTAATAAACGTATTTCCAGGTCCAAGCGGAGCAGATAACGATGGTGGTCATCGGGGATAAAGCGTTGATGTGCTGACGATTAGCTGGGAATTTGTGAACACAGATAAATCCAGTATCCAACACAACTGAAGATGATTATTCCGTGGCTATGTTTATGCTGAAACAGGAGACTCATGGACAACTTCAGGCAAATTATAGTGTGCATAGAGTTGTTGCATTAGGACCAAAAAGTTATTAAGAACCTCCCATTATAATTCTATGAATGAATTTCAAACTTCAGAAACAGTCTAATCAAGATTAAGACTGCAGAAAACAAGTTAGGAACCTAAAGTGCAGTCTCCTGTCTTCGCGAGAACTATGTTGGCTCAAGAAAGTTGACTTTTGGTAGAAGCAAAGATGGGAAACAAAAACAAATAGACAGTTAGTAAATACCTATGAACAAGAAGAGTTTAAGTTCGGAGTAAATTCACAATCTATAATAGCTAATACCTAACAAACAGCATTCCATATTTAGTATTCCATGTTTAGTCAAGTTTGACAGGTCCACCAATCCACAAAGATTTATGTTCCTACTCAGAATTCATATGGCCTAAACAAGCAAACTAACATTACTTTATCAACCAATATTCACCTCAGCTACAACATTTTAAAAGACCGACTAAGCATACCTTCCAGGAGCAGTGGCATCGAAAGTGAAAGAAATAAGATACTTTCCCGGATTATCCTCATCTGGTTCAACGTGAAGCGTCTCCTTCTTGATGTTAACATCATTCCTAATAGTGACTGCCTTCTGGTGCTCGACATAGGGGGTAACAGGAGCAGGAACGGCCCCATATGGGTACTGCCCGCCGGCCCAGTTCGGGTAAGGTGGTCCGTAATGACCGGGCACCGATTGCTGTGGATAGTATCCATGATACGTATAGTAACCCGGAGGATTCGGATTGGGGTACTGAGATGGATACGGCGTGGCGGCCGCGAACACATATCGGTTACCGGCACTCTCCGGCGGAGGAGGCAGGGGAGGCGGCGGAGGAGGAGGCGGGTGGCTCCGCCGCCTTCGACGCCCCGAGCTGCTGCTCCCCGTGTTACCCATTTCGTTTTTCAAGTCCTCACTTCTCTATCCCGACATAAAAACATCAAGAAATGAGATTCCAATACTCAGAAGAACACGAAAAAAACCTCAACTTTGAGGTGGGGGGGGACGACAAAGAAAACGAAAAGACAAGAGGACGAGGTGACCAACACATCAACCCAATTACCTGAACAGGGTTGTCGCTATCAAAGGTTAAAAATTGATGAAAAAGAAACACGACCCAGAGCATAAATCATCCAAACACGGCAAAAAGGCACGACATTGACGATGCTTTCTGCTTTATCTAAACAAAGATCAATCTCCTGTGCATATGATTCGTGAACCCAGCCACCCAGGATTAAAGTAGGGGAAGAAAATTCTCACCTCAGAAAGAAGCGATGGCTTCCCCTCAAAGTGCCCCAAAATCCAGAAAGCAGAGAGAGAGAGAGACAGAGACAGAGACAGAGACAGAGGAAGGGATATATTCAAATACAAAGTGGGATTGGTTGGACAGGAATTGGCAAAAGGGGATAGTGGGTCGAGGAAAGTTGTTTGGGTTGATGAGAGCACTATCGTTGTGCACAGTTTTCTCCTTTCGTTCAGCCTCCCTCGAAGGCAAATCCAAAGAATGCCACCACAACCATCAACGATTATCTTTTTGACAGGCACCCAACAAGTGGGGGAGGACCCTCCTCCTCCTCAGACCTTGAAAAAGAAGAAGAAGGTAAAAAAAGGGCATCTTTGCCTCTTCGTCCTTAATTCCTCCTAATCGGCTTAAGATGCTGCAACAGAACGGGGAGCACATGAACCGCTTTGCCGCGCTGTCCTCCATTCCCCTGCCACGTCAGCTCGTCCGGACCGATCCTGATTGCTGGCCTTTGGGCCCACGGCCCAACTGCTCGCGGTTACTTGCGAGGCTCGCATTGTGGTACCGCGTTGCACCTGATATCCAGCGGGAGTGAGCATGATTTCAGGGTAAAATCAGGAACCTGATAACCGAACCGATGGGAATTCCAGATTCTAGGGTATCAAGATAGGTTTCGGGTTCTAAAAATTGGAGAACTTGTTCTGACGGGCAGGTTTCAAATTCAGGTTCTACCTGAAACTTGGAACCTAAAATCTAAAACAAATCTTTGTATTTTTCTTGTTCCATATATTCGCGCGATCCTACGGCATTCCATGGATTCTAATGATGAGTATATAATCTGAAATCACTAATGTGAGCTTCTATTTTCGACTATATCGATGACTGAGACTTTTACTTCATTATTGTTTCATATTCATCGTGTCTAAATACGAGTTGTGATTGGTAGATTGTACCAAATTGGGGTCATTAGTGGTGATTATTCATTACAATTGTTCAATTAAAAGTACATGTGAAACCTGGGTAGATCCTAGAAATTGCAATCGTTCAATTAAGAATACAGATAAAACCTAGATAGACCCTAGAACCTATGATAGGGTAGGTACCAGGTTCCTAGATATGCAGGGTATGTTCCAGGTTCCAAAAATTTAAAAACCCGTTCCGATGAGTTGGTTTCAAGTGAACCAGGAGCAATCGAGTCGGGTCAAGGCAATCTCAGTACCAAATTCGAGCCCGACTCGACTCGCATACTCGATACTCGCAATCAATTTGAGCTCTTTAATTATAAAAAAATTTGCTCGGGCTCAATTCGAATGGACAATCAAGATATTCAAGCTCAACTCAACTCGAATCTATTGTGAAATTTTGAGAATTTTTGTAAATACAGGCAGTATCTATCAAGTGTTTTAGACAAAATAATGAAATTCCAATTAGGCTAGTGAGTTTGTTGGGCTGAGTGCTTAGGAAGCTTGAGGTCGACATTAGAAGACGTCCAAGTAGCTCGATCCGTACTACCTTCACTCGGAATCGGATGAGTCGATCTCGAGAGCTGATTGCACTGAGCCAGAGCTATCTGCGGGTAGCTCAACTCGATTTCATTTTCGACACCTTTTCAAATACGGCATGTTTGATTTTAACGACGGAAAAGCCCATTTGTCCATTTGAAATCTCACGTCGGTGAGAGCCGCCGCTCATGCATGAGTGTGTGGGGGAAAGAAGGAAGGAGATGGTGGGAGGACTCGGGGTGAGAGAGGAGGGAGTGGCGGAGGAAGCGAAGAACTGTTTATTGTTAGGTCAATTACTTCAAAAGCCAAGTGCAGCAAAATTCTAAAGCCTGTAAAAATATGTAATCGAGTTGTGAAACTTTCGAAAAGTGCAATGAGGACCTAAAATTTGTCAAAGTAGTGCAATTAAGTTCTTCGGTTAGTTTTGTCCAATTTGGCTAAAGAAATATTACTTTCTCTTTCCAATGTGACCAATATGTTAGTAAAGAGTGCAACGAGGAAGAAAATTACGCTATTTTTCCTTCTGATTCCAACCCGCCATGCTTTCAAACATCCGACCATATTCCGAAATTGAATCCAGTTTTAATCATTTCGGATAATGAGTCTTATTTCGGCTCAGCCGCTCTCTTAGATGACCTGAAGCACTCGAGAAACACTTCAATTTTCTTTGCTTTGCTTTTTTCTTCCAAGAATGTCACAGGACAGCAGATACATTTCGTCTGGGGGGAAGAGGTGAGATCGGACTCTCTATCCCCCATTGAAAGCTTATTCATTCTATGATGTTGGGTGGGGAGGACACCGCGCTTATTACTCTAGTTTGGAGTTGGGGTGAGGTAAGGTGTGGGGTATAAGAAGCCTCCAGAGCCAATTCCACTCATGTACAGGAAACTTCCACTGCTAGACTTTTCGTCACTCCTTTACATGGGTCACCGAATGCGTTGATAGACACATCGACCCTACAACTTTTCGATCCTATGCACGCCTGCAAGAGCTCATGAGAACGAATGAGGAAGGATGGACATTTCACAATCAAGGAGGTAATAACAAGTTAGATATGGTCCGCGCTAAAGAGTTGTGGAATAATACCTTTTGAACAACGGCAAGTGCCCTGTTGCTGCTGCACTTTCCATGGCTAAAGCTCCCACAAGTTCCTTGTGGAGTTCCGAAGCTGGCGAACTTGATCGAGGATATGACCTGATTAGGATGCAGGCACTCCAGTGACAATATAGGCCGCGATGTGTTTCCTGTTTTGGACTCTGATTCTGAATTCCACATGTCGACAGGTAATGGGTGAGACTCACTCACCCGTGAGCATAAGCTTTCAATCTGTCTCGTGGCAAAAGATATTTGAGTGGGATCACCGCCAACTTCCTCGAACATTACAAGAATGTTGTTGCTTGGTTTTAACCACGAACGTGGAACGTGGTACCTGTGAGAGTGGGCTCAAGATTAATCCTTAAAATGGTGTCATCTAAAACTTCTGGATGCATATCTTTCAGTAACTTACAGCTGTTGTGATGGCTTCCCACAGCTCTTTAGGCATTTGCTTGAACTGTAGGCTCCTCTGTAATTGCAAGAGTCAGTGCAGCCACTACCAGGAGCGAGGTTGGTTGGCCAATACCGTCCGATGCTTTGTCCATTCACCCACGCCTCACCCTTTCCCATTCCAGAAAAGTCTATGGCGACCGGGTCGTTTCCAGCAGGACCAGCAAAAGTGGTCTGGAGAATTAACACCACGGTTAGTGCCTAAATAGTATAGGTAGTGCCTGAGACACCTTCGAGTAAGGAGCTGTTTGAGGTGCATTGGCAATACAATCTCTTCGGAACAAATTACTTGATAGCCCCTGGAGTACAGAATATCTTATAGATTGTGCTGCCAGATCACAATTAACCTCCCTCTTTGGTTTGGATTGGTGTTAAAATAATCCCACTCTGCTTAGAAGATTGGGGAATTTCAATTTTACTTATGTTTCTACAAATAAAGAAGTATTCGATTTTGCCAAATATTTCCCTTTGAAATAATGACTTGCCTAGATGAAAACTGATGGTTACCTTGTACCATGTCAAGGGTTGATTCTTTGGCAATCTAGGCTGTGTAATCCACATCGAAGAACTTCCACTGGGTAGACCTTTATCTTCACCTTGAAGTCCTATCTGCACTCAACAGAGAGAGAGAGAGAGAGAGAGAGAGAGAGAGAGAGAGAGAGAGAGAGAGAGAGAGAGAGAGTTGCAATGCACCCACATTAGCTTTAGTAAAGGTCGGCCAGTCAGGTAATCACAAGAGAGGTTTTCTTGAGTATGTCAGAATGAAATTCGACATAAATTGCAGTTACCAATATGTTCTCTTTGGCCATCATCATACTTACTGATGATATAACTTGCCAACTAGCAAGGAAAGAAACCTCACCTGATATGTCCACTGCTGAGAAGACAGATCTATCATGCTGCCATTGGCTGAACTTTTCAACTTTACTGGACCAGTTATACCAGCACCCGTTTTGTCATAAAAAGCTCCGTAGTTCTGGAAGAAAATGTAAGTTTCACAAAATATTAAGGAAATAGCCAAAAATTATGGGGGTTTATTCATCCAACAAGAATCTCTACAATAGCATAGTGCAATGCATGTTATTGTCACTTTAAAAATGGATGTAGTCAAAGTAATAAATTAGAAAGACCATACCTGAAGTCCTACAGTCAAGCTCAGGAGATCGATTGTGTTCTTCCCTGATAGAAGCGTGACGGGAATGTCAACAGCAATCTTGGAATTGCCACTGTTGCCTGCTTTACTGCCTGTAGAGTTGTAACTGATTAAGTGCTTTGGTCAACTAATCTACATCAGAACAAGAAGTTTTATCTACTTCAACGTATACAACTTGAGACAAGTGCAGGGCACATTCTCCATCAAACCATTCCTTTACCTTTCAATTGTCGGGTACTTCAATTTTGATAAGTAACACTAAAATAGAAAATTATCCAGCATGAGCTGTGCACGTTAGGTTTGGTTCAGTTTAGATGACATTTCGTAAAGAAAGGATGTGCATACTACTAAGCAAGAACCAAGGTTATAATACAAAAGAGTCGAATAATTTTCACTCGCCGTCTCATTGAAAAACTTGGAAAACAGAGAATTCTAAAAAGATATAGAATTCAATTAGATAATTGGGGCTTGCTTCCTTTGTGACCAGGAAGAGGTCAACCCATGTCCCACCAAACGGATCCGAAGAGCAAGAACACAGTTTTTCAATTCTACAGCTGCCATTCCATCTTATCATGAAGATCATCATGTATAAGGAATACCTGCAAGCTTCTTGTTGACAAAAGCATGAAGAGCATGGCCAAGTGATTCAACATGAAGAACTGCTTGAGAACCATCTTCAAGGAAGGGCTCCTTCCCAGTGAAATCAGTGCTGCCAGAAACAGAACCAAAATAACATTGGACCAATCATATTGGCACCCCTTACCAGTCAAATTTGGACAGCAGTGGCTGTATGGAAAAGCAGCTAACAAGTTGCTTGTGTACCTTAGTGAATACCACAAGTAGTCACTCTTGTCAGCTGTAGTGTTTATTTGCTCCAACAGCCCAAGCTTCATGAATGAATCATCCTTTGAAATACCCACTGGTTCATTGACCCAACTCCAGTCTGCATTGACTGTACTGGAGGAATCCACCACCTCGCTCAAAGATTCATGTACGAAGGTAGGAATCATAGACATAGAATTAATCTGTAATAGAAAAAAAACAGGTTGGAGCTCCTAAATATTTTTATCATGATAAAGGAATACATATATATCCTTCACCGCAAAACTGCCAGTGACATCATGGATTCTATACAATGCCAAGAGATGTAGCA